TTTTTTTCCAGCAAAATGATGCTTCAACATCCAGGCCAGGTGTCAGCCTCCGAGGTCAGCGCCTCTGCCATCGTCCCGTGCCTCTCACCGCCCGGGTCACTGGCGTTTGAGGATTTTGCTAACCTGACACCTTTTGTCAAGGAAGAGCTGAGGTTCGCCATCCAGAATAAGCACCTCTGCCATCGGATGTCCCCGGCGCTGGAGTCTGTTACCATCAGCAACAGACCTCTGGAGATGTCAGTCATGAAATCTGAGGTGGGTTCCGCCAGCCCCTGTCCATCCTTTCAGCACACAGGCATCACACACTCTCCACATTCCAGCACATTCAGGAGCCTTAGAGTTGGGGATAAGAACCAACAAAAGCACAGCTGCCTGCGGGCTTTTGTTCCAAAACTGTTGTCTAAAGAGAATGGAACGAAGAGTAGAATCCATGAGTGGGCGGGAGCAGTGTGCACCTGTGGATGGGCAGGACTAGTGTGCATCTGTGTGTGTGTGATCAAGAGGCTGAAACAGGAAGATCAAGAGAATGGTGAGTTTGAGGCCAAGCTGAGGTACATAGCAAGACTCTCTTAAGAGAAAACTGGCAAGAAATTGAGAGGCAGCACAAAGGGAGGGCTCAGCAGTTAAGAGCACTGGCTGCTTCTGCAGAGGACACAGGTTCAGCTCCCGGCACCCAGAGGTGGCTCAAAGCTGTCTGTAACTCCAGCTTCCCGGATCCGGCATCCTCTTCTGGCCTCTGCAGGCACCTGCACAAATGTGTCACACACGCTAAGTGCAGGCCAACACTCACACGAGCAAAAGAAAAGACCCAGCAGCGAACTCGGGACGGAGAGAATTGAGCAAGTGCACAGACGTGGGCACCTGTGCAGGCAGGGCTCACGCACACACAGAAGAACCCGTATCAAATCGAGGCCAGGGAAAGCCACTGCTCAGGGCCGCTTAGCTAGGACTTGAGGAGAGGGCGTGGGGTGGGAAGGGGGAGAGTGGGGAATGGGCACAGACTCTGCAGCTGCTCATTGAGAGTAGATGAGAGCCGCCGGGAGGGTTTTGATCCGACCTGATTCATTTTTATGCGACTCCCGGACACCACGGTTGCTAGGTCAGTAAGCCAGGAAGTGTGCTTAGAGGGGAAACTTTGGGGCCTTGTGCCTACAGGGAGGAAGGTCCGGGTGCTAGTGCTGAAAGGTCCTGACTTCCGAGTCTAGGGTAACGCCGCTCTAGGTGTGGACATGGCGTGGGAAGGCAGGAGTGTCCGTCCGCTTTCTGCGGGGCTCTGGACAGGGGCAAGAGCAGAACCTGGGTCCGATGTCAGACAGGCAAGCACAGATGTGAGCTGTGAGGCCAGGACACAGGGCTGGGAATCGGCCAACTACGGACGGTGCTGGAAGCTGTAAGGTTTGGTGACGGCGCTTTCTGTGTGGAGACTCAGAAGAGGCAGGAGCATGGCGGCGATTTCCATCGCCGTCGAGACCCAGGGACGAGCGGGTTAGCCCTACCTTCCTGGTAGCAGTGCTCACAGGCTTAGTAGACTCTGTGTTTGCGCCCCACGCGCACTGCTCTGTGCTGGGAGACCTTTCCATGAGGCTCCTGGGGTGACAGACATGGTTACTGAGCTGCGGTTGCTGGGCACGAGCTGCCTCAAGAACCGAAGAGATGAGCTCTTGCAACTTTGTCAGCCTTTCTCAGTGGGGATCCTTTCAAGTTTGCCTAACGGGTGTGATTGCAGCCCTCTGGAAGAACTGAAACTGGCTCAAAGAATGTATGTTTAAAGGGAGCCTGAGCTCTAGGTGTGAAGAGTGTATGACCTTGCTCCTGATCCCTAGCGCTGGGGGTAGAAAGGGATTGGTAGACAGGACCGACATTTGTGGAAGGTCTGAGGGAACCTGGCTCATAGCATCCAGCAAATGAGCACAGGGTCTATTTATGATGCTGTTGCCGCGGGCACCATTAGGGGCATTGGCCATGCTTCCAGCTAACTCAGAGGTCAGAGGGGGGACCACAAAACAGTCACACTGGAATCATGACCAGTGCTGGAGAGTGAGGGCGAGAGTCTGGGACATCCTGGAAGAGCTTTTCATGTAATGGTATAGTTTGAAACGAAAAGATCCAGTAGTAGGGGGAAACTGGGAAGAAAGGAGACAGACAGTGGGTGGACTGGGAAGGACAGTTGGAGAGGCCACTAGCGGAAGAAGGGGGTGATGCTTCCACGCCCTGACTCTAGAGGAAAGGACATCCTTGTAAGAGAGTCTTCAGTTCTGAATTCCAAGGATTAATATCAAAACCTTAGTTCAAAATTCCAAATATTTTGAAGTAGATTTAGTTTTAATTTGCTACATCACCAATATGATTCTTTTTTACTGGCTCTTTGCTTTCAGTTTGTTATTTTAACTTGATGTGCGAGTGTTTTGTCTGCACAATTGTATGCGCCCTGTGTGCGCGCCTGGCACCCACAGAAGGCACAAGAGGGTTTTAGACCCCCTGGAATTAGAGCTATGGTTGTGAGCCACCACGCGGGTGCTGGGAACCAACCCAAATTCTCTGCAAGAGCGGAAAATGCTTTTAACCACTGAGCCGTCTCTCTGTGCCCACCGTGTGTGTGTGTGTGTGTGTGTGTGTGTGTGTGTGTGTGTGTGTAATTTTTATATTTCCTGGGTGTGTGGCCCTGATGGTTATGGTTGCTTGGGCTTTGCCTCCCTAGATTGGAAGACCTACACCTCAGTGCAGTGTCTTTGATTTAAAAGAACAGGAAGCGGTCAGGAGTGGGTCAGTTGTGCATCCTGAAGCTGGCAGGGTCTGGCACTGGCCATGAGAGTTCATCCCAGCCGGACTTGGGCCTGAAGCAGAGGTCAGGAGCTGGGTGTGCTCATTCTCCTTAGGACACAGGCTTGGTCAGGGTCTGGGTAGACATCCGTGCCAGGCCACACCCTCCAAAGCTGGACAGGGCTGTTCTCTGAGCCCCAGGGTTGACTCAGTGAGAAAATGAGTGTGATTTGTTGGCTGAGTCAACAGGTGGCCCGGTGCTCTACCCTCAGCATCCCGCTCTGGGCTTATTAGTACCATTTTGGTACCATGATGACCTCAGGTCCCGATTCTCCGGGAGCTCACTGGCCTGGTAGGAAGGATGTGAGTTCTCTTCTTGTCACTGAGGTCAAGTGGTTGACAGAAGCCACTTGGGGAAGTTTGTTTTGGTTCACAGTCCACGGGTGCAGTCCGTCGTGCAGGGAGGACGCAGCAGCTGGGGTGGCCCGTGCTGAGAGCTCGTGCTCAGCTCTGTGGCTCGGGAGGCAAAGCTCCCTCCTTCTGCAGTAGCCCAGCCCTGCAAGCCATGTCCTCACCTCCACCACTGCCATCGGAGCCTCCCACCCCTGTCAAAGGTTCCACAACCTTCCAAAACACGACTAGCAGGAGAGTGTGGCTAGGGGCTGATCTAGAGGTCATTCCTGGCCCCAGGGGGAAGGACACACAAATTCTTTGTGTGTTTGTGTGTGTGTGCCTGTCTTGATCTTAATTAGTATCAACAGTTTTCAGTTTAAAAATTCAAATTCTTATTTAAGAATGCAAATACATTTTTAAAGTAGCTTCCATTTTAACTTACTAATCTCAAATCTAACTCCACTTTAGCTTTTGCTGTTCATGCTTAGTGTGCGCACACCTGTGTGAAGGGAGTCCGCACCAACTTAAGCATGAGGCTGGAGAGATGGCTCAGCGGTTAAGAGCCCGGACTGGAATTCCCAGACCTGCAGCGTATGGCTCCCAGCAGCCTGTAGCTCCGGGCCCCCGGGATCTAACACTCTCTCTGGCCTCTGAAGACACCAGGAATGCGTGTGGTAGACACACACAGACCAACATAGACATACACACATACACAGGAGTGGTGAAGCACAGACAGAAAGCCCACAGCCTTGATACTTTGGATTCATGGTGGCTTATATGTGTGCCTCTTGGGTTTTATAGGTGGCCCCTGAAGAAGACGAAAGGAAAAGGAGGCGGCGGGAAAGAAACAAAATCGCAGCTGCCAAGTGTAGAAACAAGAAAAAAGAGAAGACGGAGTGCCTGCAGAAAGTGAGTATTGGCCAAGCTTCCCCTGCCTGCTGCTCACACTTCCCCTGCCTGCTGCCACACCTGCCCTCAGCAGCCTCTGTGTGAGTGGCAGAGGGGAGTCAGAAGCCTGTGTGTGGTGCACAAATGCCAGCTGCGGGCAGACGACGGGGCAAAGCTGGAGCATGGTGGAGAGGACTCTGGGTGTGCAGAGTGAAGACCGTGGGCTGAAACACGGCAGTGTCTGGGGCCAGCAAGCTGGCTGTGGGTAAAGGGGCTTGCCATGCAAACCTGCCATGGGTTTGGTGCCCAGAACCCAGTGTGGACGGAGAGAACTGGTTTCGGAAAGTGACCTGCACATGCCTGCCGTGGTGCAAACTTGTTCATATGCCCTCGGCAGTTCTTACTCGTTAAAGAGGCTTTGCGCACCAGTTTTGCCAAATAAAACAAAACAGTAAACCCTGCCACTGCCGTTGGCTCTTAAGGAGAGCTGTTCTCACGCTCGGGTTAGCTCGGCAACCCAGCCATGCTTGTTCCTGCGTGGATCTGAGCCCTGCCCACTTCTCCCGCCTTAGACAGCCCTGAGCATCCTGGCAGACTAGCCCTCAACAAGAGTCACCAGGGTACAGAACGGGTCCACAGGCAAGGCAGGCCTCAGAGCCTGGATGGCGCTGCAGGGGCCGTGCCCGCTCCCCCACATGTGTCCCTCACTGCCTCAGAGTCGGTGACAACACCGGCTTGCGTGTCTCTGAGAATAACTCTGTGGGTACGGGAGCCAGGGTGTCATTGTCACTTGTCCCCCAGGAGTCGGAGAAGCTGGAGAGCGTGAACGCAGAGCTGAAGGCGCAGATTGAGGAGCTCAAGAACGAGAAGCAGCACTTGATATACATGCTTAACCTGCACCGGCCCACCTGTATCGTCCGCGCCCAGAACGGCCGGACCCCGGAGGACGAGAGGAACCTCTTCATCCAACAGATCAAAGAAGGAGCGCTGCAGAGCTAGGCGCGGGCGCGGGGCGCCTGGGGAGTCCTCATCCTCCTTTTCCACCCCGAACCCTGAAGCCACTGCAAAGCTGGCTTCCTGTGCACTTCTAGAATCTCATCAGCCGAGAGCCGTTGGGGCAGGAGCGACGACCCGCGTCGTGACAACCAACCTACTGCATCGTCCCACTCTGCCCTAGAGCCACGAACGAGCAGGAGTGCCCTTTGTCTCGCTAACTCCAGGATTTAGGCCTTGCCGTCCGGCCATTCTCAGATGACATAGCTGGCCCCTGGCTGGGGCCCTGTGCAAGCCAGAACCCCACTGATGGGATTCACGCAGAGGTGTCTACTCACAGGTGGGGGGACGGCGTCCTCCTCCGTGGCAGGCCCTCGTCGGGCAAATGCGGCAAGAGGCTGTCTAATGGCCAGGGTGTGCTTTCTAGAAGATACGCTGTTCTGTCCCAGGATGACTGCACAGGGCGTTCGTTTCAGAACCAGGCGTTGTCCTGCTTAGATGTTTGTCTTGCACAACACTGGCGCGATTTTTCCAGGAGTTTCATCAGACCTGATTTCTGAGAGTTTGGGGGCTGCCATCGTGGTCAGTGTCCTTCAGAAGCCATCGGGTGGCCACGCGAGCTTGCGGCCCCAGGGCAGTGGAATGGGCCTGGTGACCAGCTGTGCTAACTTGTGCCGACAGGAGGCCTCCCTCCCTGTGCCCACTGCTGAGGAAGAACCCGGGCACCTCATCAGGTCCTTGGCTGCAAACGACATCACAGAGAGAAGGCGCGAGTCCAACTTCCAAAGGGCAGGACTGTCCTTTCCACTCAGTGACGGGCAGGAAGCGCCAAAGAGTGCCCGTTTCCCACAGGCTGTGGAGACGGGCGTGCTTGAAGCCAGGTGCAGGGCCGGATGTCTGAATCGTGCTGATGGCATTGTTTTTGTATTGTAGCTGTTTGGAGACGTGGCCCAGAGCATTCTGGCTGGGAGATCCCTCTCTGGCCACTAGGACTCTGGCTACTGTTAAAATTCTGATGTTTCTGTGAAATCCTCAGTGTTTAATCCTATTCAATAGTATCATTACAATTTTCTGTAAGAGAGAGTATTACTTATTTATCCCAGTATTCCCAGCCTGTCAATATAATAAATATCAGAACAAGACACAGTGAACCTAGGTGTTGTTCTGGTTTCCGCTAAGCCGCTGAAATACTGCCGCTGCCTCTGTCATGGGGGGAACACTAGGGAGGGAGCTGGCTTTTCTTTTTAGTTTATGTTTTCTGTGTATGGGTGTTTTGTCTGCATGTATGTCTGCACCACATGCGTGCAGTGGAGTTTCAGAGGGTTATGAACCACCGTGTAGGGGTGGGAATGGAACCCCTGGTTTTCTCCAAGAGCATCGAGTGCTGTTAGCATTGAGCCATCTTTCCAGCTCAACTTATTTTTATTTATAATTGGGGGGGGGGGGGCATTGAGTGCCTTTGCCCACAGAGACAGAAGAGCTTCTAAGCACCACGCCGTCTCTCCAGCCTAGGCGGGTGACTTCCAGTCCCGTCCTCAGCTGGTCGCTTGATGCTCAGTGCCTCACTGACAGACCCTGAAACAGCATTGCCTTTGTCCTTCACACCCAGCTGCTTGACAATAAGATAGTTTTTTGTTTGTTTGTTTTTGAGGCAGAGTCTCACTATGTAGCTCTAGGTGGCCTGGAACTCAACATACAGACCAGACTGTCCTCTCCCTCTGTCCCCTCTGCCTCCACAGTGCTGGGTTCAAAGGTGTGCCTACCGTGCCTGGCTTACAATACGATTTTGATGTAAAATCCAAATTGCTAAATATTACAGCCATCAGTTTCTCTGAACATACAAACACGCCTAAAACATACGCATGTTTTTCAGCTTGAGACTTTTTACAAATTACATTTAGTTTGGGGTTGGGGGTGGCACACGTGGACAGCAGAGAGGACAGCGTGGAGTCAGTTCTCTCTCCTCCACATGGGTGTCCTAGGAACTGAACTCGGGTCATCAGGCTTGGCAGCATGTGCCTTCACCTGCTGAGCCATCTCTTTGGCTTGAGCCTCTCGAACCTGCCTCCTGCCACAGTGCTTCTCAAACAAGTTTCAGCTTGACTTAGGTGTGTTAACATTGTGTGCCTCAAAGCAGGTATTATTTCAAATATCAACAAAGAATGAGGACGAACAAAGGGTCAGAACAGCTTTGGACAAGGTGGGTTAAGTTATTCCAAGAAAGGTTCCTGCAATATCCTGGCCTCTCGATTTCCCCCGATTCTTTCTTCCTCATGCCTCCTCCCCCATTTTGCAGTAGTGAGGACTGAACCCTGGGCCTTGCATTCACTAATCAAAATCCCTACGCCAAGCCCTCCCTGCCCAGCAAACCCCAGCGCACAAGTGGAGACAAATACCGGGGACAGTGTTTGAGAGTCAGATCTTCAACCGAGTAGGTCCTGGGCATGGACGCAGGTCAGCGAGCTTGGTGGCAAACACTGGTCAGCTGAGCTGGCTAGCCGGGCCTACGTGCCTGTTTGATCTACATGTGTTGCTTTTAAACTATCTCATGGCATAGGTGTGAGTGTTTCTCTGATTGTTCCTAATCAGTAAAGAATTATCCACCACTATAGCTCATCTGTATCCTAATGAAGGGGAGGAAATAAAGAAAAACCAAAACACGAGAACCACTGCCCTGATAACCTGGTTGTCAGTAGAGGGGCAACTACTACGTCAAGGCGATTTGCAAATGGCCTCAATGGCAGTGGGCCAGAGAGGAAGCAGTGGATGCTCCTTCCGGAATAGCTAGCCTGAGAAGGTCTCTGCCTTGACGTTTAAGAAGGCCCTCTCACACAGGCCTCACTCTGAAGGAGGCAGGCTAGAGTCCGGAAGGACACAGAACTAACCCCTGGTTGCCTCCTGCAGGAGATGGGGACATTGGCAGTTCCTGCCAGAGCCACCTTCCTCCCTGCCTTCCTCAGCCTCTTGTGTTGTCCTGGGATCTGTCCCAACGCCTGTTTCAGAGTAAAGGCTTGACAGATTCTGGCTCAGGATGAGCTCCAGAGTCATCCCTTTACATTCTGTCAAGATGTGAAATGCTGTTTCCCGACGTATCCAGCCCCCTCCCCCGAGCCCACTCCACTCACCTTTGAAGGAGCTTTGAAGGAGCCCTTGGTTGACAGACACCCCTGTCTGTGCGGCTCAGGTGCTGCTGTCTGTGGTCTGGATCTGCCTGAAAGGAGGCCACATTTACAAACTGTTGGCATTGGCGTAGTTTTATCTGCTTTATTTGGGTTCTTATGTCTCTACCTCCCTCCCAACACTAGGTACTAGAGAAAGGAGGTTAAAGGGAAAAGGGATGTGGAGACCTCTTTAGACTTAGTCCTTGGGGCAAGTCCAGTCTTCGTAGTCAGGATATCCAGCAGCCCAGCAAAGGAGCAAACAGCGGCAGGATGAACCACCACCAGCAGCAGCAGCAGCAGGGAGAACAGCAGTCACCTTCTCCCTATGAGCGAGCGACCAGGCCTCTCCATGTGCTGGCTCTCAGAGTCCTCAGAATTAATCTATCAGCACCTGGCAAAGATCACGCCCCTGCCAGAGCACAAGACAATTATAGTTAACAGCTGTGGACAAACTAAAGCCCCCCCCCCCATATACCTGGGATTAAAACAAAAACATGGTGTAAAAGAAACCCAAACCTCCACTAAGCATTCTTCTGCCACATCCTGTCTCAAAGCATAAAACTAAAATAAATGTACTTGTGAAGGGATTCCCGCTGAGCTGCAAAGCACAGGTGAGGTTAAATACGGACGGGAGCTAACACTGGGTGACTAGGACAACGTGTCATGTGTCACTGCGTGTGTCAGCTCGCTTTCTGTCACTATAACAAAATACCTGAGGTAAATGAAAAGACACTGAATTACTGTATAGCTTTTTCTATTACCCATTCTAGCTCCAAATGTGACATGGAGACTTACTAAATGTAGTGATAAACTTTAAAGCACTATAGAGGGCAGCTACTCATCCATCCTAAGCCGTCTGTGCTGGTCTGGACTATTTCCCAGCCAGGTGTCCTTTCGCTTGCCATCTAGTCTCACTCAGGCAGCTTCTCCATCTCTGTCTTCATGGCAATTCCCTCATGGTGCCTTCTCTCTCCCCCTCCCATCTTACTCCCTGCCCCTCGATGGGACTGGAAGTCCCTGCCCAGTCTTTGGCTGTTCAGTTTTTTATCAACCAATCAGAGCTAACTGGGGAGCATTTACACAGTGTTGAGACAGGAGATTCCTCCATAGCCATGACAGTGCCCACGTCCACACTACAACCTGATCTCAGGGCACAGAGATCTACACCTGAACACGCGGTGCACAAGACCAACCCCCAATACTGGGCGGCTGAGACAGGTGCCAAGTTGGATGAGGTGAGTCCCACACAATGAAAGGAGAGAACTCCCACAGGTATCCTCCGGCCACGTGTGTACTGTGGGTGTGCACGCCCCAACACAGTTACACACACACACACACACACACACACACACACTCACACAAAATAAATGCAAAAAAAATATTTTTAAGAGAAAAACAGGGCTGGGAAGATGGCTCAGTGGTTCAGGTACTTGCCACTTGAGCCCTGAATTGAGCACCTGTGTAACTCTAGGTCTAAGACGGAGACAAGGCATCCCCAGAGCCAGCTGGCTGGCAGACTAGCCCATAGCTGGGTCTGAGAAAATCAACCATGGGCTTCCAAGTTTACATACAAATACCACTCATACATGCACAAAAGTTGAAAAAAGAAAGTTTCTTCTGGTTCAGTTTAGAAGTGTCAGTCGTGGTGGATTCTGCCTTATGCCTTTGGCACAGTGGCTTGGGGGACACTCAGTCCTTGAAAGCTTTGCTCCATTCCATAGATGAGGATGGAGGGAGCTCCAAGGCTTGCCCAGGGTCACACAGTTCACCTAAAGTTGAAAGCTACACTTTTTAAAGCCACAAGGGTCTCGAACAAGCGTTCTGAGGGTGTACGTGTTGTGTGTGAATGAAAACACACAGACACTATTTAAATGCTTTGAGCACATCCGTGACACTGTGTGGCCACTGCAGACTGTCAGTCTCCCAGGTCCCACATCCAGCCCTTGGCCAACTGCTGCGCTCTTCATCTCTTCAGGCTTGCCTGTCGCATGGCCTTCTGTGTCTGGCTTCTTTCACTTATAAAATGTCAAGGTCCACCATGTTGAAGTATGAACCAACATTCCGTTCCTCTTCACAGCTGGGTAATCGTGTGCTCTATGGAGATCAGTTAACAGGTGTGTGTGTGTGTGTGTGTGTGTGTGTGTGTGTGTGTGTGTGTTTTCAAAGTGGTAGCCTTTGCCAGGAAGGAATGAATGTCTGGAGTAATACTTCATGGGACCAACTGGGAGCATCTGGAGCAGGGGTCTGAGTGACAACAGTTTGGAAATCCTGAGTGTGGCTCGCAGTGTGGCTGTGGCAAGAGGCAGAGTCGTGACGACAGATGCAAACAGATTTCCCAAGCTCTCCCCCACAGAGGGGCTGTTAGGACAGAAGGGCTTGGCTGGGCTCTTGGAATTCAAGGACCTCAGTTCCCTCCCCCTCCCCCTTCCCCTATCCTGTGCACTTCACTGAACACTGTGGAAAAGTGGGAAGCAAAACCCAGGGTCCCTAAGGGAGCAAATGGTTCCCCACAGAAACAAAACTGAAGGGAAAAACCAATGTGGCCTCCTCACCTCATTTAACTTAATCTAACCCTGGCCACCTCATCCACCCACTGTCTAAAGTGGTTGTCCTGGTTTCTCCATCTCTCTCTCTCTCTCTCTCTCTCTCTCTCTCTCTCTCTCTCTCTCACACACACACACACACACACTATACAATTTACCATGATGTGGTAAAAACTAATCAGGTTTGAAAACGTTTGACTGGCCCAGGTTTCCCTCACGAGGCAAAGTCCTGTTGTGGTTTAAAACAAAGGTTTTAGAATCAGCAAGGCTGGATTCAGGCCAAGTCCTGTAGTTTGTGGGTGTGGGTGATTTACGTTGGGTCTCTTTGCCCTGCGAACTGAGAATAGCCCCGTCAGTAGGCATCTCTGGGCTTTCCACTAGCTCGGGAGACGTCACTCACGGCGCAGCTCGGATGAGCGCCCTGTCGTAATTAGTAAAGCCCGGACCTGTGAGGTTACCAACATCAACACCCAGTGAGGCTGCGTGCAAGGATCAGGACCAGGGTCCAGGGTACCCACTGAAGTGAAGCCGCTGAGTCTGTGCTCATCTACAGTCCCCAGCTGCAACCTTCCCGCCTGGGCCCCCTGTGGCCCTGTCCTCCTGCAGGCCAGCCGGGAGGACAGGACAAAGGAGCATGTGACAGCGACAGGTCACAAAGGGAGAGGGGATAAATGGCTGAGCGGGGCCTCAGGCCTTAGTGGTCACCCCTCCCACTATGACTGCAGTTTGTAGACTCTCGGGTGCTTTGGAAAATACCACGGGCGGAGGTTGCAAGGGTTTCAGACCCTGAGCGAACCTCCCTGGAGTCTACCCTGCACCTCTACACCTTTGGAGAGGTTGGACTTGGGGTCCAGGCACCCAACAGCACCCCCTTGTCAATCATCTGTGCTCCCACCCCCAGCCCGGGCCTCTGGGGGGCTCTGAGGCCAAGTGGGGGGTTGTGGGGTGGGTAGAGAGACCGACCGAGCGCCGCCTCTGACGCAGGAGCAGCACTGCGCCCTCATCTGCGGAGACCCAGGAAGGCACCGGAGCCACCTCGCCAGCTCGCCTTTCTTGACGCAAAATGGCCACGAAGAGCGAGTGTCTGCTGCCGTACTACACGGCCCAGAGCGGCTCAGGGGTGGGCATGTTCAACACCAGCATGGGGAAGCTGCAGCGGCAGCTCTACAAGGGGGAGTACGACATCTTCAAGTACGCGCCCATCTTCGAGAGCGACTTCATCCAGATCACCAAGCGGGGAGAGGTCATCGACGTGCACAACCGTGTCTGCATGGTGACCGTGGCCATCGCCTGCACCAGCCCCATCCTCCCGCTCCCCGACGTCATGCTGCTGGCCCGACCGGCCCCGGGCTGTGAGGAGGTCCCCGGCCGGGGCCAGTCCACCAAGGGCAAAAAGGGCAAGGGCTCCAAGACCCTGGAGCTCACTAGGCTCCTTCCTTTGAAGTTCGTAAGGATTTCCGTTCACAGCCGTGAGAAACAACAGCTGCGCCTCAAGTTTGCCACCGGCCGTTCTTGCTACCTGCAGCTGTGCCCCCCGAACGAAGGCAGGGATGACCTGTTCACCTACTGGGAGAAGCTCATTTACCTCCTTCGGCCCCCCGTGGACTGCAACAGCAGCACCTACGCCATCCCGGCCAAGGACATGGTCTGCATGCCCCTGCTGGACGAAGAAGACAAGTCAAGCCCGGCTGGGACGGACTGCCAGGGAAGGGGGGACCCGGACCAGGTCAGCATCAGAAGCCTCCCCGGGGTCACGGATCTCAGTGGGGTCACCTCTGCTGCTTTTGCTGGAGGGGAGGGGTCCTACCACGACCCCCACAAACCCTCTGCTGTGGCCAGCGTGTGCACGCCCAAATCAAAGTCCAATGAGTCAGCGTCAGCAGTGGGCGGCCTCGTGGGCACCCTGAGCTTGGTGGTAACCAGGTCTTCAAGCCCCAGCCAGGCGAACGCAGCCGTAGCGGGGGCCACCACCATGGGGGCAAGAGGGACCAAAAGCCACTTGGCCATTGCAAGCGCTGGCAAGATGTTCCCGAAGAACATGAAGGTCGCCTTGGCAGGGGCAGCAAGCAAGTCCTTGGAGAATATTCCCAGCTCATCCGCCAGCCTCTCCCAAAAAGACAGCGTGACTGTGGCTCTCTCAGGGAGAGAGCCCACGGGCAAGACTGTTAGAGAAATGGCAACTGATCTACCAGCGACAGCTCTTTCCTTGACCCTGCCAAGTGAAAGCCACATGGGTGGACAGACTGGACAGCAGAAAGCCTCTGAGTCCAGCACAGAGGCCCGTAAGGAAAGGAGGGTGAGAAGGGACCGGAGAACAAAGGATAGAGTCGGCAGCAGGAGTTCCCGGCACCACAGGACAGGAGAAAGTCGCCGCAAGACAGCAGGGGACAAGGTGAACCGGAAGTCAGGCAGCCGCAGATCCGCTGGCGATAAGAAGGAGAAGGGCACCTTGAGGGACAGCAAGCACAGCATGTCGCACAAAGGGGTCAGCCACGTCCCCATCACAAAGGACTCCCGGAGCTCCCACAAGTCGGGCAGGACCCTTTCCACAGCCAGCTCGGGGTCTACAAGCAAGAGGCTGGGCAGGATCAGCTTGTTCCTGAGAAACATCAGAGCCAACCTGGCTGCAAAAGGCCTGGCCCCGCAGCGGGGCCAAGATGTGGATGTTATGAGCAAGACACTGGAGACCATCAATGTGGAGGCCATCATGGAGTCAGAGAGTGGCCACTGCCTGGACATCATTGGTTCTGTGACATCCGAGGTCACGGAGACAGTGACCTATGAGGCTCCTTAAAGCACATCTCAGAGCCCCAAACTGCAAAGGGGCCCAGGGCCCAGGGCCCCGGGCAAATCCCTAGAGTCAATTCCAGCTTTCTCACTGCAGTAAATAACCATTCTACCTGAGAAGGGCTCTCTGTGTTTTCATACCTAGTTATGACCTCATAGTGAATTCTGTGATGTCATTGTGGGACTCCTGGCTGCACCTGATGAGGAACCCCTCTCCTCAATGTGGGTGTCCACAGCTATGGCCATTGTTCTCCTGGTCTTGTGATAAAGTCCCGGGTCTAGTCGGGATGGGGGGAGCATCGGCACTGGTTATTAAGAAGATGTGGGCTTGGTGGTTTTGCACATACCTGTGGACCCGAGAGTAACACACGTGTCCAAACAGTGGAAATGACCAAATAACAATCATGAGAGTTTGTGCTATGTACTAGGCAGGGCTGTCAAGTAATGCAACATAGATAAACTTCTCTGACAATGTTGAAAAGAGGCAAATTGGAGAATAGGGCATCACTGCATCGTTGCGTTTACAGGAGAGTTCAAAACAGGAGAAGGAGTGGAAGGAAAAGCGGAGACCTGAAAACAAGATGGACTCAAGACTTCCAGAGGCGTTAGATTTTTGCTCACTCCTGTGTATGTGTGAGTGTGTGTGTGTGTGTGAGAGAGAGAGAAGAGATGGCTCTGTGTGTTTACACATGCTATGGCGAACATGTGGAGGTCAGAGGACAGCTTTGGAGGTTGGTTCTCTCCTTCCACCACGTGGGTCCAGAGAATCAAACCCAGGCTATGAAACTTGGTGGCAATCACCTTTCCGGACTGAAGGAGTGAGTAAAATGGTGATGGTTTTAAAGTGTTAGTGTCTCAAAGGTCTGCACTGTAATAAAATTTCCCCAAATGTGTCTTGAATCTTTTTCCTTATGTAGCAATCTTTTCTTACTGTTCAAGAAACCGTGAACAGTTATTAGAGAAAGAAGGCTGAGGGAGGTGACTGCTTCATCACCCAGGGGGACCTCGAAGGTCAGGTTACCTCAGCCTGCTTCCTTATGCACAGTCCTGTTTGAGGAACATGGGAAGAGAATGAGTCAGACGGGGCTGGCCACCAGACCCTGACAGGGAAACTCCAGAAGGATGGCGCTGTCCATTGATCAAGAGCACAGGGGGGTTGTGGGGAAGACGAGGCGTAGACACTGTGAGTCGGTAGACACTGTGAGTCGGTTTTTGAACTACAGTCAGCTCTCAGCTGCTAACTGACCCTATCTAAAGGTCCGGGACACCCTCTCGGCTGCCCCTGGCTTGGGCTTCCGTTCCCCAGCTGCTGCCTGCACTGCAGCTGTAAACAGACCTCCTGCCTGGAATTCCAGACCTCACTTCCCATCTCCCCAGCAGCTAATTAAACTCTTGGAAGGCTGAGCAGAATTGTTTTCTCCATACCAAATCTTCAAAATGAAAGGGTTAGACTAACTTTGTAACCTATATGTCTTCTAAAGCCTATAGTTTTGAATTTTAGGTTCAGGTTAAGCTAAAGCCTCTTAGTACCTTTCCAAAGAATGGAAAAATGTGACCCTATCTATGAGGACAGATAGAAAAAAAAGGGCAAGCAAGCAATGACCTTCACTCAGCAAAAAGAAAAACTCCTGCTAAGAAATAGCATTTCTTAGCAACAAACCTAGACTTCTTTTGAGTGGCTTTTGACCTCCAGCCAAAAGTCTGTAGCCTCTAATTTTTAAGGATGAGCTAACCACCCCCACCTTCAATTGCAGCTGCATCCACACTTGGCAGGACTGGCCAAGCTTGAGCACCTAAGACTAACCAATTATCTTACTTTATAGCTTCCTCATCCAATCCTAAATTGCCAAGACTGCAACTTCAAATCTCCCGCAATTTTTCTTTTAAAAACCTAAAGGCCTTTGTCTCCCAGTGCCACTCTTTGCTGACCGGCAGGGGTGGCCCCATTGCACAATGGTTAATAAACCTCTTGCTTTTGCAACAAGTCTTGGTCTGGGGGAGTTTCTGGGAAGGGCGCGATCTTGAACTCCTGGGCTGTGAGACCCCAGGTCTTACAAAAACTTTCTACAGTTGCAAGAAGCAGATTCTTAAAGCTCATGTCCAGGAGGCTGTGGGCCTCTGGGATCAGATCCTTAAGGCTGCTTTTGAGGCCCACACAGCCTCCAGCTTTGGGGGTGGGGAAGAGAAGGGTGGAAATGGGATTGAGGGCTTGCTGCTGTGACAGGAAGCTGGCTCAAGATGTGCCCGCACCAACCATTCCCTGTAGCCAAACAGGGCTCCTGACCCCAGCCTGAGGGATTGCGGAGTGAGTCAGGTTATTCTCAAGAAGGGAGGGAGCAGATTAGATACGATTGCTTCTGTGAGGAAAACATCCTCAGAATCATTAACCCAGCGCTCCAAGGAGGCTTAGGGGTGGGCCCCCTCTTGCTGCAGCCAAAGTAATGGTTTACTCCTAGCCAACTTGTCCTTTGAATGGAAAGGTGTGGAATTTATGAAGATCACTCCCCATCTCTTTAATTTGAGAATTTCTACACAGGTGAGTGTAAGTCTGTCAGACACACACATACACACACACACACAAAAACCAGACAAACTCACTACAGACATTTGCATAGCACTCTGATAAAATGCTCGCTAGCGTTCATGCTGTCTTCCACCCTCAGCCCTCCACCTGACAGATCTGAGAACATGATTTTAGGGACATTGCATTCAAACCCCTTATGCCAGCAGAGGAGACCCGGAAGGTGGTGCAGCTTCCCTGACAGGTGTGTATTTGGGGGACAGACATGTTTGTAGGAGGCTTCCTGAGGTGTGCGGCTGGGACTTTAAGATACAGGGAACAGAAGGAGCAGGAAGGCCTGTGGAACAGGCAGGCTTGAAGCATCACGGTGCTGGGGTCATTAAAGGATTGTGTAAGCCTGAGGTTGGAGGGCCAGGTGCCAGCAGGATGGAGAGCCAGGCACTCGGCACTGGTGTTCTGAGAGTCGTGTGAACTCACAGCCCTTTGAGAGTCACTGATGGTAGTGAGAGCTCTGTGGCTCCAGGGAGCTGAGGAGCAGGGCGCTATGTGGAGGCTCAGGGTCCCTCAGGGAGCCTGGCTAGACACAAGGACCCAGGAAGCTATGGAGAAAGAGAGGGGTGAAAGCAGGAGACATAGGAGGGATGAAAAAACAGTTGTCCTCCTGTCTCAGAAGACACGGGAGGCCATGGTTTGGAACAAAACTACAGTTGCCTAAAGTCAATAGAGCAAACACTGGGCGTCTCCTCCCTTAGGAGGCCTGCTGCTCTGTGAAAGGGCTGCAAGAAAAGAGCCTCATGGGAGGGGAGAAGAATTAGTGGATAAAACAGAAAAGAGCATGCAGGGAATTAGGAGGGGTGTGGGAGAAGGTGGAGTGTTTGGAGGAGGGGAGGAGTGCAGAAGGAGGAGGAAGGATGTGGGGGGGAGGGAGGGAGAAAGGGAGGGGTGTGGGAGAAGGGGGAAGGAGTGTGGGAGAAAGGTGTGGTGGGGTGGAGGTGGACTGTGGTATCTGTGTTCCTCAGAGAGACTAGGAGGGAACAGGGGCAGGTGAGAAGCTCCTCCAGACGCCCGGGTTGTGATTGCTCAACAGAGCCCCTTGCGGCCGTATGCTGTTACTGCCCCCTGGTGCTTGACCTAGGGGAGAGAGGGTCACACTGGGGTTTGTGCTGACCCACCCAATCAGCCTGACCATCGGGGCAGACACCGAGGAAGCTGGCGAAGAGGATGTGTCTTGTCCAGGCAGCTGCCGGCTCCTGGCCCCTGACGGGAGTGGCTGTAGGAAAGCCATCTCCCTTAAGAGATGGAAAGTGAAGCCGGATGTGGTGTGGCATCTGTGAGGTCAAGGCCAGCCTGGTCTACAAAGCGAGTCCAGGGCAGCAGGAGAGCCAAGGCTACAGAGAGAGTCAACAATAGGATGGGTGGGGTTGACATCGCGTTCCCTCTGCAGCTTGGAAATCATGTGAGGATGATTATCGAACGCCAGTTATGGGAAGATGGGACAAGATGGCCGAGCACACAGTGATGGAAACTGAGCTGGGATGAGCGGGGAGCTGGCTGACGGTGGTGTCCAAGGCCATTTCCAGCACCACGAAAGCAAGCAAAGCAGATGGGGCAGTTTAGAGGGAGGCTCTGGTGTGAAGGGGGAGCCTGAGGAGGGCGGGAGCGCGCTCTGCAGAGGCAGTGGTGCGACACACTGGGCGTGAGACAGGCAGGGCTCCATGGCAGGGCGTAGGGTGTGATGGGCGTTTGAGCAGCGCAGGCAGATGCGGTTCACCGGAGGCCAGGTGAGGCGACCTGCTGGGGCCAGACTCCCACATGCCTGGAAGCCCTGCACCTGTGGCCAGCAGAGGCGGGTGCACGGCTTCGATCTGCAGGGACGGGCACTGTGGAGGAGCAGCTCTGCCACCCGCACTTCTCCACAGGCAGGCCACAGAGTCCATCCTCGTCCTCACGGGCAGCCGAAGGACAGGCCCCTCATGGGCGTCTCAGCCCACGTCCAGTGAAGCGTTCCAGGCCGACTCACTCTGCAAAGCCCCTCAGAGGACAGGCACACACAGCTGTATGAGGCCCATCACGTCGTCCATTCTCTTTCACAATGGCACCACAGTGAATGAGGAAACACAGCTTCTCCTGAGCCCTGGGACGGCACGAGCGCTTCCTCATGGCTGGTTTATGCCACGCTGGGGATCGAACTCAGGGCTTTGTGTGTGACAGTTGACCGAGCCACATGCACAGCCTGATGAGACCTGTGTGTGTGCAGGTGGCCACGGAAGCCTCGGGCCTCAGATCCCTTGGAAACAGAGTTAGAGGTGGTGGTGAGCTGCCCGACATGGCTACCGAGAACGGAGCTGGGGCCACCCTGGCACGGCACGGCTTACACAACACCCTGATCTATAGAAGACGGTAGAGTGTTGGTGTATTTCCTTAGTGGGGAAATTAAAAGGTGGCTTCCGGGATGAAAGGATGGCTCAGCGGTCAGCACCGGCTAC